TTCCAATAAACAAACTGCTACTTCTGTGGCTTTTTCCTTGAGTCTCGGCTACGTGGAATACTGTTATGCAAGTGGCAGTATGATTCAATGCTTCCGTGGCATCCGTGATTTCTACCTAATGAGAGATTCGTAATCCGTGATTTGTGCTTGCTTCAACCATTACATATTCTTGAGCAGAATAACCTTTTATTTCTCCGCACTAAGCGCCCTGATTTCTTACATTTTCATTCTTTTTTGCTGCGGAATTGGGCTCAGTTCGTAGAGCAGAAAAATGACCTCTCCTGAGGTCACCAAGCCACATTTCAACGAACCGAGATTTACTTGAAACAAAAGTCTCTCCGATCATGACTGGTCCGTAGTGCCACATTGTTTGACATGCTCCCGTTTGGAGTTTCACTTCTCGAGTAAGCTAAGAAAGTTTGTGTCAATTCCAGATTGTAGCCTGGAGCACAAATCGTCACAACGGTGAACTTCAGCGACTGGATCCGTGTTTGTGAGTGTGTGTTCCGTCGCGATGCATTTAGAAAGTTCGAATGCTCAATCAACAACTTCCGTCTATTTCGAATGATAAGGATCTTGGTGTCATTGTCCAAGACGACCCAAGTTATTCTTTAAACTACTCCCGGGTGTCGTCCACCGCTGTAAGACATGTTGGTATTTGGCAAGTTTGAACCTACGCTGTTTCCACGGTTGTTATCAGCCTACATTCGACCCCACATGGAGTATGCAATTCAAGCGTGGAATCCATGGTTGCAGCGCGATGGGAAGATTACGTAACGTCCAAAAAGAATGGCGACCGAAATGGTCAAGGGACTGCATTCCAAGAGTTACGCGGAAAGACCGGAATCACTGCAATTGTACTCCACACAGTCTCGCCGCCTTCGAGGGGACTTGATCTTGGTGTATCAAATAATGCAGAACCCAGATCAACGATGTCGTTCACTCTTTGTCCTTTCACCTAACGCTCATCTGAGAGGGCACTCACTCAAATGAGTGCTCCAAAAATGCCGACGAGAATGCCGGAGTCATTTCTTCGCCCTCAGGGTGTGCACTACTAGGAATTCTCGACCATCACACGTTTCTGCGTCCACAATTGATTCCTTCAAGCATAAACTGGATGAAACCTTGAAATTTCTTAAATTTCAACATCCGTAGCAGTGCACGAAGCAAGCATAAATGGTGACATTCGTCTACTTTCTATGAACCGTGAATCGATTCATCTGTGCTAAACCCTATGGGACTAAGAATTTTCTATCGTAAAACTTTGACTTTGAAACTTCAAATCTCGCCTTGTCCCTCGTTAATTTTTCCGGGAAGAATAAACAAACAACTGAAGTGTACCAATCAAAAATGCACCTATAATAATAATAACATAGAAAGCAACAACAACAACAACAACAACAACAAAAAGCAAACAGCGTTGCACCCGCGGTGGATGAGGTGAGCGCGAACTACAGGACAGAAAGAATAGAGCTCCAACTATGGAATTCGTGCAATTAGAGTGGGTAGGATGAAGCATACATGAATCCACCCCTCCCCACACACANACACGTACACAGAAAAGAATGTTAGGATACGTGATGACGACGATGGTGGTGAACTTGAGAGAAATGGGATGTCCCTGATTTGAGCGAACAAGGATCGGATGAGATGCGATGAAGAGCAACAAATAATTGTATGCTGTTAACCAGGGCTTTTCATGTGTGTGTGTGTGTGTGTGTGTGTGTGTGTGTGTGTGTGTGTGTGTGTGTAGGTTTGTGCAATGAGGATAAGCTTTGATCGCTGGCAAGCTAACTGGGCGAGGAAATTAAACTAGCTAAATGAAACAGGTTCATGATTCCGTAACTCAGATTAATACCTGTCTCACGAGTTGGTTATTCTGGCCGTCCATTTCATCTTGCCACTCTTGACGGGTGGAAATGACTGTGGCCGCACAGATACACGACCGACCGAACGAGGCGTTCCCAGAGAGGGGTGATCTGAGCTGAGATGGCGTTTGATGATGATGAGCGCTGACTGGATGAGGTGAGTGTGATTAGACTCAATGAATGAAAGAACGTGTGCTTGATGCATGTGTGTTTGGAGAGAGAGAGGGTGTATGTGAGAGAGAGAGAGAGACGGAGATCTGTGGACCGGAGGATCTGTCCCTAAAATCTGTACCTGAAGGTTCCACTGAATGAACACGGGATGGATCGATAGATGGGCTTGTGGATGTGGTTGTTGAGAAAGATGAATATGATATGAAGAGCTAAATGGACGGAATGGTTGTTTTTATTTATTTTTTCTGCTATTGTTTTACTGTGCTTTTATCTGATTTTAAAAATAAATTGGATGAATGTGATCTATGGGCTGATTGATTTTGTTCTATAATTTTAAAAGGAACGCCAGGAGATCGAATGCAGACAAGCGAGCCGTTTGGTACATTTTTCACGTTTGATTCAATCTTGTTTACACCGGTTTCGGAGAGTATTGCAGGAATGGTTTTTTTATCGGACCCAAGTATTGCAAGGCAGGAGACGCGAATCAAGGCAGTGGACACGTATTAAGACAATTTTTGACAAATTTTAAAGCTCAATTTTTTCGACGGACAATGAATATTAATGTGTAAGTTTGCACGTCAATTCAGGTTTTCACAGGTCGACTGGCGGTTTTGTGTCAGTGGAAGCCAAATCTGTCTGTTGGGCAGAATCATCATCACCACGCGAAATGACGGTTGGAACCGAGGTGACTAGAGCTGTTTTCCCCTCTTGGAGTTCTCTTCGGGCACTCGTGGTGGAATACATCCAAGCTGACTCTGTCGGAGTTTGTTGACCACCGAATATGCTATCCGGACCTTCGACAGACGGAGCACTGGAGCCTACTGGTCCGGAGGCAATATCTTCAAATGAGATAGCACTAGTCACGGAGGTGGAAAAACAGGACTGGATGTTATCCTGCGAATCGCTACCACCCAGCTGAGCTTGGGTTTGATGTCGGTCACTCAGATCTCGGTATATAGCCACTTCGTCTTCCGAGGCATCGAAAATGGCCGACTCTAGATTTGAATCTGTGTGAGAAACGAGACCCAAATCATCACCTGTTTGACTGATCACATTCAGGGAGCTGGTACTTCCAGCTCCAGTAATTATTATTGCGGACTCGTCAGTTGCTGATACGATTTCCATCACCGGTTGAATCACTTCGATGGATGGACCGATTTCCAAAGGGATCGGAATATCTGAGATGTTTGCAGCCAAGTGTTCCCCAATCGGACCACTCAAAGCAGATTTGCATACGGTATCCGCGATTAGCAATTTTCCAGCCGGTTCTGTCGGATGACCATACTGCTCCACCTCCCGGGTACTTTCGCTTGGCAAACCGAAAACAGCACCACTATCCTCCAGCGAATCGCTCATCAACTCGGACTTGGTTGACATACACAAACCCGCTTGACTGTAACTAGGTCCCTGTGCGATAGCCATGCTACTTTCGGTTTCCTCTTCCGAAATAGGTCCTCTACGTTCATAGGACAATTCAAGCGAATCAATCGAATCGCGTCGATGTCTGCGTTCCTCAACGGTCCGTGAAACAGCTGTATCTACTCCAGATAGTTCCAAGCCTTCGCAGTATTGTTGATGTAGTAATTGTAACTGATGCGGTACAAATTCGACAACTCCAGACTCTGTGATTACAATGTCTTCACCAGCGCCTAGGAAACCATAACTGGAATCCACCGAGGATGAGGTAGTACACAATGAATCGGAGGTTCCAACAACAGCAAACTGATCACTACTCTCTAAGGAGTCTGATTCCCGGGCCTGTTGACGATGCAATTCATCCCGTGCATCTTGAATCAAACTACTGGCCCAATCATCAGGTAGTGCGCGACGCTCACCCGAAAAAGCACCTTCGTAAACAGATGGCACTAGCGAATCGTACATTGATGAATGTGCCAACGAGTCCACATCAGCTAGATCGATGAGTTCTTCACTTTCTGGATAGTCAACCATCTCAGTGGCCAGACCAAGTTCCGTCTCAACAATCGGTTCTTGTGTTTGCTCTTTTGTGCTAAGTTCGGTCATGGAGGCAAACTGAACGGAGGCAGTCCTTGTCTGATCGATCTCATCTTGCAACAGATGATACATACGGGCCACATCCTGTCCCACTGTTTGCGCTTCGCTCAAACTGAGTGCAGTCGCGGAATCTGTGCTCTGAGTCATCATACTGGCCTGTTGTTCAGCCAACACATCCTCGTAGATTGTGGTGATTGTGCCTGTTTGCAATGCGCCCATTGGTTCCGGTGTCACATCTGTTGGTCGGGTAAACTCCAGCTCACCCAGGGTAATCGATTGCAAACCGGCCCCATTCTCATCAGCAATTGGTGGTATCGCTTCTGCCGAGCCTTCACATTCTCTTTCATTGCGTAAGAATTCAGACAATGATGAGGTTTGGGAACTCAATTCAGGAGCACTCTCGCGAGGCATACTGCTCATGGACGTGGATGTACTATGTGCAGCCACTTCACGTTCTAAACGTTCAAATTCAGAGAGGGAACTGCTTGTACCACTGCCGATTCCTTGTTGTGAAGAGTCTTCCGTGGTGGTTCTGGGTCTTTTTGCTCCGAGTGATTCAGTTTGCGGAGGACTCTTCTCCAACTCTTGCAATGAACCACGTCCATAAGGGATTTTCTCCTGTTCGTCTGTTCCACCCTCTATTACATCAGCCTGGATTTGCTTGAATTCAGTGTCTTTTGAGGGTAATTTTGGCATGGATACAGCTCCACTTATTTCTGGTCGCATCGGGCCTGTAGCACCAGTGCCAACGGAGGGAACACCACTGTCTTGTATATCAGATAAGCTACGCTTCCGATCTACCAAATTCAGATCACTCTCTACGGATGCCAAGGTTGTGTGGGACCCATGCAAACCTGGTGTGGCTGGAGAGATATGTTGATCTTCGGGAACCATCTCTCCGGAAGAATATCGTCGAATTGATGTGTCACCACCTGTGACATAGGTATCTGACGGTAAAATTGAACGCCTTTCTTCGGCTGTTTTTGGTCTTTGGATGAACAATTGTGAGCCGTGAGTGACTTGGACAATGGTCGACTGACTATCCCGACTGGATTCTTCGGGAGTTGTACTCCTCCACGCGGTAGCGGATACACTAGAATCAGCCCAATGAGCACCACCTGGTACATCTTGGGCGAGACAGGATGTAAAGTCTTCAATTTCTTCTGAGAGTTGACCCAATAACGGTAGCATATCGGTTTTTTCTAAACGTTGTTTTGTTTCTCCCTCTTCTACAGCCTCTTCTTCTACGACATCCAACTGTTCTTTAGAGGAGCTTTCTCCAATGTCTATTTCAGAATCCAGATTAAGTAATTGCAAACTGGAGCTACTATCGTGCGATACATCTGGTGAACTAGCTTGTTCAGCACCGGCAACTTCCATGATTGGTGACAAACCATCTCTTGCACAAGATAAATCAACCACATCCTCACCATCTGTTTTTTCTTTATCTGTGTCTGTCGGTTGCTGGGTGCGCACATCTTCCAAGCTGTCGGTTGCGTAATCGATCACCTCATCTGCTTCACTCTCATCATCTTCCGGCGAATATTCTTCTTGAGGTGTTTTAGATTCTACTACTTCATATTGTTCTTCACTATGCTTTCTTTCTTTTTCATTAGATACAATCGGTTTTTCGATTAGCGTATCCTCACTAGTTTGACCAAACACGTAAGGCGTTGCTGAGAGAAGCACTTCCGGTCGGCGAACGCTGGTCGATTGGACCGGTGTACCAGAACGGAAACCGTAACTTTGTAATCGATTCAACATCTTCATTGATCTATCCAGCGCAGAACTAAGCACTTGATTGGCTGACAATTCATATGGTCTGCTCATTCCTGCTGGTTTTGAATCTCTATGTGTCAGGTGATCCGCTCTCAATCCTGGTTCACATGAAACACCTCCATGCATTCTTTCGGCCATAAATTCATCGTCTTCATCATCAGCCTCAGAAAACTCAGTCAGTAAGTTGGTTCCGGTAGCAGCAGCGAGCTGTCTTAGATCGTCATCACTTCGCCGACGTTCATGAGTGACTGATTGAGACTGGAAGGCTAAAAGTGATTTTGAATCACTATCTTCACCTAACTCTAGTCCTGACGGTAATTCTCGTCTACTATCACCTTCCATTAAAGCCGGTTCTTCATTGATGGCGAATTCCAATTGATTGACGGTATCAAGTACCTCGGAACTCAGCGCAAATGGACTAGAAAATTTAATATCCATTGCAGCAAACTCAGACCCACGAGGTATTTCTACGTCATCCGTTTCCAATGTGACCGAGTCATCAGCCGAAGATCTCCTTGTAGTTTGTCGTTGCAACGAATCTTCTGACTCTGTAGCTTGCTCAGAATCTGCGACCAGTTCGGGAACGCAAGCTGAAGCATGAACTTCACGTGAATCACAACTGGTCTCTGTGGCTTCAAACAGTTTTATGTCAGGCGAGTGTGAAAGTGCTATATTTCGAGCTCCTCGTAGCTCTTCATCAAGTGAAGCTGTCTGACTAGCCTTTACTAGTTCCTTCTCCTCAAAACAGAGAGTAGCAGATTTCTCTGGGTGGTTCAAACAGGAAATTCTCTCACTTTCCCTCTCAATGCTTCTCACATGCGGTATTTCGATTATCGCGGACTTCAGTTGAGGTGGTTGTTCAATTTGTTTGAGTGGATCTATTGCAGGGCGTTTGAACCCAGTCAAACCTAAGTGCAAACCGTCGTGTGCTGCGGCAGTCTCCGATACTGAAACGTTTTGGCGTTTATACGGCGAATTATGGTCTTCCATTTTGAATGGTGAACGCAAATCTTCGGATACACTTACAAACGTGGGCACATTTATAGTGTCCATTGGCTGAGTCTCCTCAAAAACTACGGATTCATCAGCAAACATCTTTACAGATTCCGTGATTGGAAGAACGACGGATGTTTTGGAAGATTTTTCAGAAACGGAATCCGCTTTCATTTGCTCTGATACGGACGTATCTAAACGACCAAGACTGACGGCGGTAAGTCTCTCATCATCAGGTTGCATCCGGACCTCTTCCAAAGGTAGACCTGATAAATCGCTAAGGCCAATTGTAGTTTCTCTTAGCTGCATTTCCTCACAAGGTAAACATAAAGATGCCTCAAGAGAAGATGTCGGAACTGAAAGTGGCAAATCCTGTGATGAAACAGGTAATTCAGTCGCAGACAATGCCACTAGTGACGTTTGCAGTTCGCTTGCTGGGTGGTCGACCAGGTCTGCTTCAGCATAAGTTGGAACCATCAAAGAAGGAACACATTCCGGTGGACGCATTGGAGTTATAGAACCATCAAGCGTTTCATCGACAGATTGCACAGCCAATGCGTCGAAAGCAGCATTCGAGATAGAAACCGAAGGAAGAACGTCACCCGGGCCGAATTCAACAGCACCAACATCAGCCTCCACTTCCGTCAGGGCGTCAGAATCAGAGTCCATATCAGCTTGAGAAGCGGAACGTGAAACTCTGGAACGAGCAGCCACCGAGGGTGACTCAACCTGAGACGAGGATTCAGGAGATTCAAAGTCGGAAATACGGGATGGATGCGGGACAGAGAACGTGTCAACAGCCGCAGAGGAGGAGATTTCGGCTGATACATCCCGCGAGACAGCAGACAACACCAATCGCGACACTGGTTCACAAGAAACCCCGGAGGAATATGCCAAACCAGCAACAGACTCCGCATCTCTCACAACCTCCTCTTTCGCAGTGCATATTGAAAGCAACTCAGATACCGACACAGCTCCAGCTCTCGGTGCCACTTCTGCTTCGACCAATTCTTCCACTTCTTCTTCTGCTTCACCTTCCGCTT